TTTATAATATTTAGTCTATTAATTACTTATTTTTTTAGTTTATACTTCTAAATATATTATATCTATAAATATTAACCTTTTCAGTAATAAGTTATTTTCTTTTAGAATAATATTATTAGTTTTATAACTTAATTTTTTGATTTATTTAGTTATTTATTATATCTTACTTATATAATATAAATATAGAAAGATTTAACATTTATATTTTTTTAATTAATTTTTTATATTATATGTCTTTAATTAGTTTTAGTTTTTAAAAGTTATTTTTATCTCTTTAGGGTAGTATATCTTTTTTTTTTTTGCGTTACTTTTAGGTTGCCACTGTAGGTACCTAATGAGTGGTGCGTTTTTAGGGCTCTTGAGTGCGCGAAGTTCTGGCCGGCGCCATGAGTAGAAAAACTTCTAACGAGAAAAAGAGAAGATGCAGATACCGCACGGGCGAGCGACCGCTAATTTCTGATACTTTCGCGCTTTTGTCTCGCGCGTCTCAGAACTTGGCAGCACATGGGAGAACAGTCTACTACCACATCGTCAAGTTGAGGAACTAGCTTCCTTGGTCAGGAAGCATTGAGAGGCCCGATACCACAATCTACAGCTTCGTACTTCCCGCGCACACAATGCGCACCACAGGCACGTTCTAATTGTCACAGTAATGGACATGCTAGAACGCAATGATGAAATTAGGTCTGAGTGGCGAGTGGACGATGACGATCGTTTCGCAAGCTCCTTTGCGACTTTAGGAACGGATAGCAAGAACGATGAGGCAAGGAACGGCACACATGGTTGAGTTACACGACCCGTTCTCCGCTCTAAAAAAGACTCAACAGAGACATGGAGATGGAAAATACTTCGACTTACAAGGTCGAATCGCTGTTCTTGTGCGCGAATGATGATCTGGACGTTGTTGACGTAACCAAAATTATTGGATGTTGCCGAGGTCTAGGCAGGGCGCGGGGCGGGGCGGCATCAACTGTTTAATCGGCTCTCCGAAGACTATAAACTATTAATTATTTCCTAGTACCTGCCACAGTCAGCCATTCCATCGTCTCCCTATTACCATTCCGTTCTCTATTGGAATTGAAATGGCCATAATTTCACGGCCACCTGTGCAGATCTCGCCATGGATCGGGCTTCCGCTCAGTATATGGATGGTTGTCGTAGGTGCGATGACATTTACCAGGGTCCCGTTTGGCGACGGGGTAAATTGGCCGGTGTTGACAAGCTTCCGCGATCCCAGAGTAAGTCGACAAATATTGTAGGCTATGCGTAAAATTTGGAAAGCTAATTCTGCTCCTTAACAGTCAAGTCTAAATATTCTCAACCATCGTTCTCAGACTACACCGGATTGGCTCTACAAAGGCGCGAAAGGTGCGGCAGCTATCTTATGGAGCATTTTGATCCCAATGCAGCACAGCACATCTATTCGACGGCGTTGGCCCAAGTTCCACCGTCGCAGCGGGTACACTGTCATTTTGCTGTCGATTGAGCTAGCCATAGCTGGGTACTATATGACAAGTCAGAAGCTGGTAACAACTCATAATGATTGGTATCACATCCATACTTTTTACAACGCCAAACTTCCGATTCCGCTCCTCTGGTGGCCTACGTTTGACGTCGCCATTGTTATTCTCGGCCTTTTCTACTTTCTCAGCCTCTACAAACTCTACATCTCAATTCGGAGCAAGAAGATCGAGGCGCATCGAAGGTGGGCTGTCTTTCACAGCATGACAGGATACGCCATCGCGATTGAGCGACTGATTGCAGTACTGGTACTTGGAATTGGCTGGGTTCTACACAGTTTGCCTGAACACGTGCAGAGTGAATGGTTACGACTGCCACGTGATATCAGTGGGAAACTCGAAGTAGAAGTGTCTGCTCTTGCTTGGACATTGACTGCTGCCGGCAGCGCTGTGGCTCTCTGGACGTATATAGAATGGAGAAGAGCCGCCGTCTTCGGACCACTACGTGCGGTATCGGAAAGCTCAGCTAAAAAAGTAGACTAGAAGAATGTCCATCCTTTGTATAAGCCATCAGCCATCATTCCATGCAGTGATGCGTATACATGCGCTAGCTTGTCGTGATGTAAGAGACGCTACCTTCTTACTCGCTTGATGGCCTGATCTTGGATTCGGAGACTCCTTAACCATCAACAGCAACAGAAAAAACTTTCACGATACGTATCGTACCCTGCTGAGAAAGAAAAAGGATCTTCCAAGGTACTTGCTGATTGTCTAATAGGTGACCCACAGGTACCTCGTCCCCGGTCAAGTCCGCATATTGAGTCCACAACTATTTAGGAATCAAGGGTATGTTCTCCATGCAGGGAAGAGATCGAGTAGATAGGTGTATACGTAGAGGCGAAGGAGATTAGCGCTCATCGGTTGAAGGGAGAGAATGTTCCGCACACCGTCGTAGTGAAGATGCGTATCCACTAATTCGACTTTAGCGTACACGACAGCGAGTTGTGGCGTCATCAGCGATCCCGCACGTGACCTCGTGCGAGTAACGCGTCGACAGAATGCCATCACCACACGGTCAGCACACCATTTACTTCAGCCGAAGGCAATCTACGCGCGCGCCGAAGACCGCGCATTTATGCATCGATTTCAAATATGGCGCGCCAGAACACATTTACCGTCATTCCGCAGGTTCAGCGCTACAATGCCGACAATGCGACCCCCACGCGGCCGATGACGTCCAAACAAGTGCGCAATGCGTACAGGGCCGCCAGCAAGACTCCAACCATGACGCGCGCCGAGCGAATCAAGTGGGAGCGTGAAGAGCAGGACCGTATTAGTAAAGAGTTTGAAAAGGAAAAAGCGGCGGCGAAAGCGCGCGCGGCTAGGGAAAGGAAAAAGGAAAAGGAAATGCAGCAACGCGAGGAGAAGCGTCGAAACGGGTTGCCCTTGGTGAATGTTCGTCCCAGTCAGGATACTATTGCAAGATTCGTCCGCGGGAATGGCTCAAAGAAAAAGAGAGATGCGGAGGGTCTAGTGATGACAGCGGCGCCTGAGGCCCCGCTGGGGAGCTCGGCGGATCGAGACGTTGCGAATGTGGCAATTCTAGGAGTGAATCCTACAGCATTGGGGTCAATATTGGAAGCGGAAGATAATGAAGAAGAAAAGAAAACGTCACAAGATATACTACGCAACGAATTGGCACGACCGAACAAAGAGCATTCTCCTGCCGAATATAATATACCCGCCGAGCCCGATCAAATGACGATACATTCCGAAGAAGCGGCCATCGAGCAGACAGAAACACCGATTGATGTACTTTTAGAGAATCATGATGTCGGTGTCAGTCGTCGAGAACCTATAGAACGGGCCACATTTGACGCAGCGCTTGAGGTAGTCCCCGCGGACGAGGCGGGAAAGCTCTTTAATGCAAACCCACGTGGCCATAGAACGGAAGGATCGGTCGAGTATCGTGTGGAGAGGGCAGCTGAGTTGATAACACCGCAAGACTTCCTTGATGAAGAGATCAACACGGACATGCTGGAAGAAATAGACGAGCTTCTCAGTGGGGTTCAGACACCCGCAGAGCCGCAGTCGGTGCGACCATATCCACGGACCAGTTATACAATAGCGAACACATCCGCAAACGCCTTACAATATAAAGAGCCACAAAATATAGCAGAATGTGGCTCAAAAACCGTTCAACAAGACAAGGGAAAATCCCCTTCGCAGGGCAGGGTCGAGATCCTATCATCGCCATACCGGGCGCGACAGACGGTACCACCGGCGGGTACGCAAGCTATCTTAATCAATCTGGATGAGTTCTTCCCAACATCTTCGCAGCAACTCCGCGAGCTTGAAGAGGAACAAGTGCAAAGACAGCAGGACGTCACGCTACAGGCGTCAGCACTCGATGTACAAGCTGGCACGACAGCCAACGGGAATACAGAGCTCAGACGTGACTCGCGTCCTGGACCAATCGCAAATGCAAAATCTGAAATGGGGGCTCTCGAGCCTGACTTTGGCTCATTCCCCTCCACCGCGCACTTTTCGCTCTCAGACTTCTCCCCGTTTGCGCAATCACCGCGTCAAATAAGACAACTGCATGAAACAGCAGCAAACGCATCTACCCAGCTAGTCTCCATGCCAGAGCCGGCTGCTTCTACTCCTTCGCCACAGCTGCAATCCTCCCGCTTCTTCACGTCCTCTAGCTACCGTGAGCAGCTGTCGCTCGCTTTGCAGCGCAGCCGGCGCTCCGCCGCTCTCGAAAAGATTCAGGAAAAGGAGCGCCAGCGACAGGAAGCAGGGCTCCTGATGCAACGTAGCATCTGCAACGACGAAGCCTGGCGACAGCCAGCGTCCCCGGTACGGTCACGCAATAAATTGGATCAGAACAAGACCTCACCAGGTAGCAGAGTGGCTGCGGTGCACCAGGCGGATAAGGAAAATGTGCAGCCAGAAATGCAATGCTCCCAGGAGACAGAGTATGGTGGAGACTGGGTAGAGACTGCGGCATGGGATCTAGCGCTTTGCTAGGTTAAACTGAGGAGCCGGTATGCACTAGACTAACGACTTCACGATGTGACGCAAGTGCAACTTGTTCATCAAGAGCGAACGTATGTTATGTAATAAGTGATATATGAGGCTGACGAAGACAGAGACGCTCATGTTTTCCCAAATAGACCTCCAACGCCGTTCGTTATCCGTTATCCATTTCCGCACCCTATACTTGTGCCGCTACCTTCCATGTAATTAAAGCAAAAGTTGTGAGCGTTGCCAGGAAATAGACCAGGGTCTAGTTTGAACAGAAAGCATTATCATGATCGTCGTTAGAGACGGCGGGCGGCACGGCACGGCTACAGGAAAATGCCCACCCACTCCGTCTTGTTGGCCACTTTGGAATCGCAGCCTTCAACTGCGCAGCGCAGATCGTGCGGTGCCTGCTGGGGCAGCTTTCCCAATGGTCCGGCAAATCCCACACCATCCGGATTGGCCTTTGTTGGTCGACGGTTTTCGAAGCATTCCGCACAGTAAACCTACAAGTGAGTTGGCAGCTGCGCTGGGAGGAGAGAGGGATGGATGATGGGAGGATGAGATAGGGGAGAAGGACTTACGTGTCCGCACTTCTTGATAGCCCAGAAATGGTGATCGCCAGCGATACGTTTGCGCTTCTTGGCACCTGTCGCGGTGTTATGCAAAGTGCCGCCAGTCGGGTCGTAGGCAAGCTCCGAATCGCAGGCCGGGCAGACAACGACGCGCTCCTCCGCATCATCGCCAGGGTCGACGACGGTATCACGCGTGAAGCCTGGTCGAGTCGGCGGCAGAGAAGGCATCTCGCGCGGGGGGCTGGGCTGCTGCGGCTGCCTCTGGGCGTACAAGCGCGCAGGAAGCCCGGTCGGCAAGGGGAGAGACGGCGGCTGGCTGGTGAGGAAGTCTGCGCTGAGAATGTCGGCGAGCGTGCGGCCAAAGCCCCGGGCAAATGACGACGCAAAGCCATAGCGAATAGCTTGGCGCGGATTCAAGAACTCAAAATCCACGAGATGGTCGGTGCCGCCAGTGCTGTCAGGATGCTGTGGTATCATGGGACGCTGGTGATTGCGATTGCTGCGACGGGGCGGCTCGTTATTGTTCGTGGTGTTGGCAGTATCATCATCGCCAGTAAGATCGATAAAACTAGTTTCCGAGGCAAGCATGATACTTTCACTGCGGGAGAGCCGTGGTGGCGTGAGCCGTTGTGAGTTTGTACGGCGAGGATGGCGGTGGGGGCGAATCGGTGGAAGTCGTGCGGTTGCCTCTCCGGTACTGGCTGTTCGCGGCAGCCGCACCTCAACCGGCGAGTCAGGCTCTTCCGTAAGATCAATAACGGCATCATTCTGCTGGGGCACCTGTGGAGGATGTCGTGATGTTACGTGCTGTTGTTGCCTCCTGCGCACGGCACCAATCGACGAGGGCCGGCTGCCAGGCAGCGGAAGGGTGAGTGGCGGCGTGGAGACGGCGCTGGCGGGCCTACTCGGCCTCGCTGAGACGATTTCGATCATATCGTCTTCATCATCGCTCAGTGTCTCGAAGCCACTGTGCTCGGGGGTCGTCATGATTTCGTGTAGCAGTGTCACGATGTCGTCGCGGGCGCCGGCGGTTCTCTGTGAGCGTCGACGAACGGGCGAGGCTGGCGGCTGAGCGAGCCGTGAGGGTGTGTATCCGAGTGCGAAGGGGAAGTTGTGAAGGTCGGACGATACCGAGTCTAACGAGAAGCCTCTGCCAGGCATCGGCTGCGGCGGGGTGTTTTGAGACGTAGAGCCTAGGGAATGTGGCAAGGCAGCAAGGGTTGCTGAGGTCGGGCGGGAACTCCGTTCGTGGTTACGTGCTTTCTTGGTGGACCATATCTCACTCTTTCAGAGGCGTCTGAGGTCGGTTGAAATCTTTGGCTTTGCAGAAAATCAGCTTCTTGAGTTTAATTTATCCGAAATCGCAGTTTCCGCGCCGGCACGGTTTCGAAAGAGGTCAGATCTTAAGTGTGGCGAGGAAAAACATGGTGATGTCTTTGGTCTGGATGGTGGGGGCGCATTTGACTGTGGGTCGCAGGCGCTTATGCTCGACTCAGTGGCCGGTGTTTACCTTGGGTACGGTTTAAGGTGTTGTGAGACGTGAGAATCATTCCTACAAGCAGTAGTCGGCGTATAGACGGCAAGTTCGTAACTGGATTCAATCCAAGGAGTAATCAAGCTCTGGCGTGTCTCCAGGTCAAGCTTCTCACTTTTCAGGAAGATGTAGCGGATACATCAAATAAATATCTCGGCGCTTTTGTTTGGTCGCCTATAAGTCGGCCGAAACTACCCTAAGGCGTCTGTCTACCAAACACATTCCAGTAACTAGCCTAGGCTGTAATTTGTCAACGAAAAAATGACAGTGATAAACTTCGTTGGTCACTGACACGGTGATTTAATTCCGTTTTCTCTTTCCACGCTGTGCTCAAACAGCTCCCTATTCCCACCTGCGTTACTCACTGGCTAGATTTGCTGGGCCTAGTCTTTCACAAATCGGCGGGACGGTAAGGGTATCTCTAAAAAGCGAATCGCCCTTCAGAGCTGTATATCTCTCAATTCACAAATCATCAGAGCTTCGCTTTAGTACTAAGCATCCGATTCTTTTTTCTTTTTCTCTTTCTCAAGTTTTGCAATTACCGGACTGTCGTAAACTTGAGTGGGTGAGGCACTAACGACTGCTTGAAACTCCAGCCCCTGTAACCCTCCAAAGACAGAAGCCACAGCTGTCGAGGGCCAGGATCAGGCGCGCCTGGAAGCCGTAGGTAGTTATCTGAGCCGGCCTGGCCCTGTCGGCAAGTAATATCACCAACATATCAGCACCTAAAAAAAGAAACACACGTACTGGACTTCTTTCCTGCTAATACGAGTACTATCAGTAAATCTACGCACTTGCTCGACTAATTGTAGCAAAGAAACCCCACGAGGAGGCCTTGTATTCTCTGGCGTCCCCATAATGTGCAGCGTTTTAATCGGACGCTACACAGCACTTGTACAAGTTAATCCTCGGGAAAGTCCTTCGGCTCATAGGGAAGGGACAGCGCAGTAACCGCAATCAAGCCCAGGAGACCAAAAACGACCCAGAGCGGGACAGAAGTCTTCAAATCACCGAATGTTGCAATGAAGGGTGCAGCCAAGAACGCTAACCTGCCACAGGCAAAGGCTAGCCCACAGCCAGTGGCTCTCGAAGCAGTAGGCATCACTTCAGGTGTATAACTGCGGGAGTCAGCGACATAGATTCATCTCTTGTACTTTTGGGACACTCACGAGAACACCATTGCGTAGCATGCAGTTTGCCAGAAGCTAACCATGCTAGAGAAGGCTATATTGGCGCCCGCTGTTCGGACAGAGGTAAAGCCGCCGCAGAAGGCCGCAGCGCAGGCCGCTGTAATTGCTACACCCCGCCTTCTTCCTATAACGGGGAGATCGATGATTGCTGTCGCAAAAATGGGTGCGAGTATAGCCACAGTGTTTGATATAGCATAGTCTCGGTATGTCTGAAATGTGCTCCCGTTTCCTAGCTTGGCGCCGTTGTTCTGAAGGTAGATGGGAAGATAGATGCCGTACAAGGGTGTACTGTCGAACTTGTCAGCGGTTGTCAACGGTTATGAAAGCGGGAATCCGCATACGCAATGCCCTTGCACATCCAAAGTAGAAGAATGCCAGACGTCGAATAAGCAAGCTTTCTATTTGCAAACAATCTCTTGATCAAGGCCAAATGGCTGACGTTGTGGCTCTCTGCGGTTGTGATGACCGTGATTGGCTGAAAGTCCTGAGGCGAAATATCAACCAATGTACGATTGACCGTGGCCATTTTTTTTAAAATGACCACAGCATCGTCGAATCTCCCCATAGCCACCAACCACTTGGGGGACTCTTCCATTTTCATGACGAAAATTCTGATCAGCGCTGCTATCAGCGATAGCCCTCCAATCAAGACATATTGGTAGCGCCAGCCCATGTTGTCGCTGTTCCTGCATGTTTGCGGAGTAGAATATTGTGGGCAAGAGTAAAAGGTAATGAGCGGCCAGGCTAATAAGAGGTTAGCAGAATGGACTGGTTACTTGGCAGATGCACGAACCTAGATAACCCCCCAAAGCAACTCCAACGCTCGACCAGGAAGTGATTGCCGTGATCATGTAACCTTTGCCTTTTGGCAGCATTTCAGCAAAAACTGCGAGGTCAACAGCAACTTTGTGAAAAGGTCAGCTCCTGTACATCAGTGCGAATGTTTCGTCTTACAGTTCCCACCAGCGGCCAGTGTCTGAAGGCCCAGAAAGACGGAGAGCACTGTAAAATTGGGCGACGCCGCAGCTGTGAGCGTGAAGACGGCGACAAGTAGGAGAGAACACCGCCAGATGACAATACGGCCAACAAAGTCCGCAAACATTCCACAAAGAAGAGCTCCTACCAAAGCGCCAACGCCACCTGGTAGCAAGATCATGCTAGGATATTTTACAGACCACTGCTTCACGATTTGTGGTAACACTATTCCAACAGAGGCAGGAAGCATCTGCGTTGGTCAGTAGTGATGCGGCATGGTAATAAGTTATGCGACAGCCTCTTACACTATCCAGGAAGAAGCCAAAGCCACAAGTCAAGAACATGCGCCATTGGTATCTGCCAAGTCCGATCTGCTGAATACTTCTATCAACGAGAGCAAAGTTGTGAAGCTGTGGGTTCTGCTCCTTTTCTTTGCCTGGTAACCATTGTGATGTCGTCGCTGCTTCCACAGTATCATTCTGCTGCTCCACATTCGACGAAGACATCTTTCGAAAGGTTGCTGCTGTCACCACGGATGAATTATGCAAAAGTTCAGAAGACCGAGAGACGTGGCTGATTGATCTTTGCAGTTTACTTTTATATTGAGCTCAGCAACTGAAAATGGCTCTCCGCACTGTGATTGACACGAAAACATTTCGGCTATGGTGATGGACGGCGCTGCTGAGCTGGCTGTCACCCACACCATAATTACCCCGGACGAGCCATGCAACCCTGTGCTGTACCCCAGACTTTGAGTGCATAACATCCCGTAGCCAGGTCTAGATCCCAACTTTCATCCAGCCACTCACACCATATCAATAAATATACTGCATCGGCTATGGCAATATCTGCGGCAATCAGCAAACACTTGTTTTGAGTTTTATTGAATCACCCTAGCTGACGCTGCAGTGAGCCCAGGGTAAAATAGAGTCGCCACCGAATCCTTCGACATTGCCACCTGGATTTGTTCGCCAAATAGTGGCACTGCAACCACCACTACACCACTACACCACCGAGCCACCATCTACCAATGTTTTTCGCTCAGTACCAAGGGCCATATTGTACATTTTGTTACGGGAAGAAACGAAAGGCTCTAGACAAATTCTTCTTCTTTGAAGTCGGAAAAAAGCAATAACAATTTATTCAGTTACTGTAATATGAGTGTTTGACAGGAAATTACGGCTACTACAGCCTCTCGAACTCTTCAGGCAATTTCTTGCCAGAGACCCAAGCAGACACCCCTAGAGCAAAACGCTCTGGGAATTGCAAGTCCCATCCATGCGTTGCATCCCTTACGATGACTGCTCCGGACCCATCCTCGGGCCACAATTCGCCTTGGCCAGTCCTCCTGCTCCTTAATGTCTCGGCCGTCTTTTCTATGCTGGGCACATCGTCTCCTTTTGCTCCCGCGATCGATAGAACCCGTACCGGAAGCTGACGCACATGATCCAGATTAAATAACAAGACCCAAGAGAACATATCCTTGACTAGCTCCCAAGTGAAGTTGGCCCTCATCTCCGACAATAACTCGTCGTCTATCATCAAGCCAAGTTGTGAGCTGCGATAGCGATACACCGAAGTAGGGATCACGTGTAGCATAAATATCATGAAGCAATATGTGAATCTGGGCCAGCGAGCCATGAGCAATCGCTTTCCAGCTAAAGGAGCAGCACCGGTGACAAAGAGCGACAGAACGAGGTCAGGCTGGTGTAGTGCGAGACACTGACCGACGTACCCACCCATAGAAACGCCAACGACATGAGCCTTTCCACCATGGGCATGCAGACCAATGAAGTGCGCGACAAGGGAGGCCGAGTTTTCGATTGTTCCTGGTTTTATTTGTCGTGAGGCGGAATGCAGTGGGAGGTCAGGGATGAGTAAGTGGAAGTCGGAGAGGTGCGGAATGACGAGCGCGAACTCGAGACGGCACGTGAAACCTCCATGGAGAAGAACAATGCTGATGGGTTTTTCTTCATTCAATGAGATAAATGATAATGTCATATTCGCTGCATCTGGTGGTGTAGGCAACGCCATGACGAACGATGTAAAGGTGAAGGACAACGGGAGAAGAAGATGATGGCGATTGACCAGCAACCTCCTTCCTGAAGCTATATATTTCAAAGCAGCAAGTCATCTAGGGTCATTTTTTGTGCATAAAATAAAAGAAAATTGCTAGCCATGTTTCAGCAGAACTTTTGGGCGGATCACTGTTGAGCAGCAATAAGCACGGTGATGACCAAAGCCGACCAAAACCGACCACGGGCTCGTGGTGGGCGCATGGCGACTCGGTCATGTGCACAGACCCGATTGACCGAATTGGCCAGTGTTCTGAGGAGGAATGTCTAGCCTCAATCAAGGCTGGTCTTCGGGCGCCTTCTGTCGTTCTCTGGATCGCGTATTCTTAGTCGGGTGTTCGGTAGTACGTAGAGCCCGACACTGAAGCTTCCCTGGCCGCCACATACCCATAATGGTACCCAACTGGGCCGAGACGTTGTACAAAGACCTTTTATCAGATATGAGCTATTAGCTGATTTATTAGAGATAAGAGTTTATTCGTAAAATACTAGTGGCCGCGAAGCTCGTGGTCCGCGAACTTATGCAGCACCCATCTAGGAAGGTGCGTGTGTGGCTGTCGCACGTGTAACACCCCGAAAGGTTCCTAAAGTGTGTAGCGAAATCCTACTACTCCATCAATTATCAGTCCCGCCTCATTCGCTTTCTTGTTTTGACGCCGAAAATACTCAGTAACAACGAAGACATTGACAACGAACAGGACTATCAGCGCAAATGCAGCGTACATGCCTGGTCTATAAGTTGGCGCGTCTTGCGGCCGAAAGATCAAAGAGCCGACGAGCCCGCCTATAGCTCCCATCACGATCTGCAAAGCGATGGCCACTTTTCCATCCTTGACTGACACTATATTGTTGGACATGAAAGTCAGCACGGTTGGGATGATGCATTGGATGCCAGCGATAGACAAAAAAACGCCGGTAAGTTTGCCACCTGTATCCGGCCCCCAACCCATCAGTAGAAACCCGCCGATGACCACAGCCGCATGACCGTACATGAACGGCGCTCGTCGATGGAGTTTGTCAGCGAAGTAGCCCGTTGCGACTGAACAGATGGATGCAAATATATAGGGCGGCGTCTGAAGAATTTGACTCAAGGCCACAGAAAAGCCAAACGCACTGAGAATGGTTGGTGTAAAGAACGCCAAGGCATAGTATGCGGCAGCGATGTAAAAGTAAAGCATGGCCATCGTCCAAACGCGCCAGTCTTTCAGTGAAGCAAAGGACTCTCTTAATGTTGCACTGTCATCCAATATCTCGGCGCGGTCTTGTTGAAGTCTTTCCCGCACGAGGTCGAGTTCGTCTGGATTCAGCCACTTGGCGTTCTCGGGAAACTCAGAAACAAAAAAATAGACGAGTAGGACGCAAGCGATGGTAATGAGGCCTGGCACAATAAAGATCCAGCGCCAACCCCGGAGTCCTCCAAGCCCCTCCAGTTTACTACAGCCGTAAGAAATGACCCCGGCAAATCCGGCGATGATGCTCGCAAGTGTGTACCATATGGCAATTCTCCGGTGCGTCTCGTAGCGCTTGTACCACGACGAGATCAGATAGACGCAGGCAGGCTTACGCAAGGTTAGTGCTGGGCCGGTGGGAGAGCCTCTGGGGAGACCTTACATTGAGCCCGCCTTCGAAAAGGCCAAGAAGAACGCGCAGACTGGTAAGTTGGGCAAAGTTTTGTACAAGCCCAAGACACGTCGCGACAGTGCCCCATAACAGAAGGAGGATAGACAAGTATCGAACGGGGCCGATGGGCCGGACGAGGAGATTGCTCGGTAGCTCTGATAGAGCATAGGTTGTGAAAAAAGCTGCTCACTCGCTTGAAGGTCAGCTTCGACCCAAAAGAAAAAGCGACAGGCAAAGAGCGCCGGTAATGAAAAGGGTACCAACCCAGAACGGCGATGTTATACCGAGCACCCCCCAAATTCAGATCCTGAGCCATTCCAGCAACCTTGGCGGAGGATATATTGACTCGGTCAATCGACGACAAGCCTACCAGCAAAATGGGGATAGGCAAAACACGAAAATCGATCTTGCGCAGTAGCCGTTTCTCGGCCAGTGTCACGACACTGGAGGGAGACGCCTGAATGTGAGCGACCAGAACGGACTCTTTATCGATCTCCTCCCTCACGGCATTGGCGACATTTGAAGGTGTCGCTGCATTCTTGTCTTTGGCATTGGTAATCATGGCAGTGAAAATTGAAACAGATCTAATAAGGATGGGAGGTAGAAGTAGACCAAGTCCTTATGTGGTCCGCGGGAGATATAAAGAGCATACCAGTGCCCGAACTACAAGAGTATTCTAATCCCGGTGGCCTCTTCTACGCTAGAGTGAGAGCGGAACACGGAGCAGAACACGGAGCGGAGCACGGAACGGGACACAAAGGCGGGGTGCGAAGGTGGCGCGACTGAAACTTTTATTACCTTGATGAAGCGCTGCCGCATACGTTGAACATTCTGCAAGGATCTTACCATGTCATAAAGTAAGAAGCATCGCGTACCTCCTAAAAGTGTGACCAGTACGTGAATCCGTACACAGGTGTAAAGTACGACCACGTCCTGGGTAGGATTATTAGGAGGGTTTAGCTGTGGCCCGTAGGCCTATAAGAGATAGAATGAAAATTATGTTATATAAAGGGAAATTGTTACGGTATGCTGCGTAGACTGCCCGGTGAAAGCAGCGGAGGACTGTCAACCCTTCATACTAAACACCCTCCATCAGTCATACTACTTCGTGCGATTCAGGATCATAATTGGCCTTTCCGGCGACTTCTTCAGTGATCCGCCCAACCATACATGAGTCACATTGTCTGGGTCAGCAATAATGCTGATATCGTCCAAGGGGTTAGACGCTAACGCGATGAAATCGGCGTCGTATCCTTGTGTTAGGATGCCGCTCTGAGGGGCTTGTGGACCGAGAACCTCCGGGGCCGTGGCTGTTGCCGCCTCAATCGCCTGCAACGGTGTCATGCCACCCACCTGTACCGCCAGCTCTAGCTCCCTGCCATTATGGCCATGACTCAGCGGAGTGCCTCTCTTGCTGATGCCGTAGTCCGACCCGCTCGCGATCTTGATGCCGGCGGCTACAGCGGACCGGTAGGCGTGAGCATGGTGCAATGCTACTTGCTGAAGCTTCTCGTACGCCCTAGTCGACCATGACTCGGCGGTTGCTAGGCCGTCTTCGACGATGGAACGAGTCGGGACCAGGATGGTCCCCTTCTCTTTCATCAGCGCAATCGCCTCATCGTCTAGATAAACGCCGTGTTCGACAGTGGTGGCACCATTACGGACCGCCGCCATGATGCCAGGCTTGCCGTGGGCGTGAGCAGCCAGCGCTCGCTGCGACCTTGCTGCCTCCTCGACCATAGCCCGGATCTCCTCGTCGGAGAATTGCTGGTGCCTCGGGTCGTCACGGTCACTGGACACGCCTCCACTGGTGCAGATCTTGATGCATTTCGCACCACGGCGCAACTGTTGCCGGACCACTTTGATGCACTGGGGGACACCGTCAGCCACAACGAGTGGGAGGCCGCGACAGCCAAGTTCGTGGAAATGATGTTCCGGCATCGTGTGATGGTCGACATGGCCTCCGGTGCAGCTGATCGCGGCACACACAGAGTAGATGTTGGGCCCAATGAGTCGACCAGCGTCAATCTCCTGAGAGAGCTCGGCCCCCCAGCCGGCCGTTTCGCGGACGCTGGTGAATCCAGCGTTCAATGTGGCTGCAATATCATGGACCGTACGAGTACCAGCCAAGAATGGGTGAGGGTCTGCCATGCCAGCCATGCTCTGCTCAAGATGCCCAATGTAGTGAACATGGCAGTCCCACAAACCTGGCAACAAGACAGGCACGTCGACCGTTCGCTCCGGCGGCACACTCAACGAGGTAGGAAGTCCGGACACAGGTCCGGCATAGTCGATTTTTCCAGCCGAGAATACAAGAATAGCGTCTTTGACAGGGTCACCTCGGCCTGGAATGAGCAGGGGCGTTTTCACCGCCGAGCGAGCCCCAGACAGTGAGCTAGAATCTTGCGCGTCGGACATGTCTCAAGCTTGTGATGTTGCTTCACAGCAGCCGTCTATCACGTCAATTGTTGAAGTCACGACGGTAGAGTGTCGTGTTCCGTTCTAGAAAGATGTTTTAAGTAGGTATGGAGCTGTTGAAAGGTAGAGAGCAAGGCGACGGTCTTCATAGCACCCTCAGGCTTGCCAGCAAATCGCGGGGTAGCCCACGGGGCACGGAGCACGGAACACGGAGCACGGAACACGGAAAAGGACACAGAACCCGAAGGATTCGCGCGCTATGCTGCAGGCTACTCAATTGCCATGAGGCGGGCGTTCAGCTAAGTCTTCGTCGGGGTCTCGGACTGTTGATCCACGCGAATACACACATGTATGGACGGATGTTCACACCACCATCATGTCTGGCGCCTTTCAATGGTACCAACCTCTATATTGATTGCTATTGATGCGGCAAGTCCAATATATGACGTAGCGTGTGGCAAGTGGGTTGATGCGCCGATCTAGAAGCAACACGTCGAATGGGACCTACAGCTAATGGGAGCACATAGCCTCGTTGCACTTCGCGGGGCAGAAGTTGACAGAATAAATTTAGACAGGTTACATTTTCTACTGGGTATGATGCCTATCTCGTCCCGAGTCTGCGGGAAATTGCAAGCCTTCAGAGTCTAGAAAGTGTGGCGTGGTCAACCCCATAGCCAGGTCTGCTTCATAATTCCAGGGAAACACCAGATTTGACCAATCTGCTGTTAAATAGGGATTTGTCTCGAGCAACCACTCGTTACCATAATCTAACCCTCCCGCCTGCGAGAATTGTGATGTAGGTCCTGAATCAGCCAATGGCTGGGTCACCACGGGGTCTTGGATTTGTAATTCATCAGTAGGGGAAAGTCGGGTGCTCATGTGCGGCGGCGTCATAATTCGTTGATTGGTAGGCTTTGCACCCGATCTGTCGAAGATGTCATTCCACAGGATTCTTAGCCAGCGCGCGAGTATATAATATTCCTCGAATTGTTTGAGGGCAATCAGGCTTGTGCGGAGCTTCGCCAATATGGTTTCGCGCCCTTGTTCATTCAAGGTTCTGTATGATACGAATTGAATATTCATCGCAGCGAATAAAGCAGTCACCCTGATAATGAGAAGTCGTGAGCAGAATGTCCGGGATCAATGACAGGCCCTAGACACTTACCACATCATTGGAAAATAATCTGGGCTCCAATACATCATTGCGTCCTCAGCCAGGCGCGTAATGCTGTTTGCAGCTTCAAGCACGGGGTTCTGATCTTGGTGAGCCATGTCGCTCTCGCCGATATGACTCTGTAGTCGCTGTTGAAGACTGATTTCTAGGAAACTAAATTCGTTACTACCACAGGATCATGCTCCCGAAGTTCAAGGGAACCTGCGGAGGGTGCGTCATCATACTCACTAGTAGCACATTTCGAGCGTAAGATATAGATGATGGCCACGTTCTTTCTGAAATCTGTGTGGTAAGCCCTCATGCCATGCTCGAAGAGTGGTGGAGATTTCCTGCTGTGCGCGACGCCGGGTATCTGCAGAGGCATACAGTGGCAGCCGAGCTGGAGAACAATGTCGGAAGAAGACCTGCGAGGCTGTCCGGTTCAACTGAATCTGCTCCATCACGTAGCTTGCAGTTTCCAATGACACATCGGGAAAATCGTCCGTGGTCAAACTTTCGATGTTGCAATCTAGTTCGTTGATGACCATTGGCACGCCCAATGCGAATGCAATCTGTCGGTCCCGAATCTAGTTGTCCCCCATCTCCAGTCAGATTGGTGGGTGATGTTTAGAGAGAGATTGTATCACTCACGTATAGACACCACCAGATACGCCTCCAGAGTGTTTGCAGATCTCGGGATATGGCGCTGTACCGGGTGGTTTTGTGCATGCCTATGCATTGGGCCGATCGTATGGCTACCATGAACCACCATAAAGAGTCCTGGAAAGCTGTGGGCTGACCCCACCAATAGTGCAGGAGAAAGCATGATTGTATCATATCAGTGCGGTCGGTCGTACTAATGCCAGCATCAAATGAGTTTTTGGCTAAACCGAAAAAGTGGTCGCCAGCGTCACTTCTGCTGCTGAAACCCAGGAGATGGTATATCTCTGGATCGCATTGTGTTGATCCCACGAATAGGACTGACCGGAGAAGTATCATCGACACACTTCCATCCTCGACTGACGAAAGAAACTTGAATTTGTGCAGAATAGGAAAGTAGACATGGAAGCGTTCGAAGAAAACATCGATTAGTCGCCGCATCAGATTCCTCTGGGGTAGATCTTTCGGTAAACCTGGGGCAGGGTTGCCAACCTGGGCATTTGGCAAAGCTTCACGCTCGGGCGCCCCGGTAGTTGACGGTGCTCGATTTCCACCATTTTCAGATGTGATTTTCCGCGACGAAACACTACCGACGTGGCCATTTGCAGCATTATGTGCAAGAAATGACGCGAACCAACTCTCACCCGCAAAGACAGACTCTCCTCTACTTTGAGGTCGTAGTTGGGTCACCTTGTGGCTGCGGGGCTGCTTTTTTGTTACAGCAGTCGTAGCGTTTTCAGTAGGCGCATTATCATCATCATCATCATCATCATCATCATCACAAAGATGTCCGAGGTTGAGAAGAAATTCTGTATCCTGGGCGGTTTTCGGGCTTGTCACATTCAACTGTCTTGATATAGACTGCTGAGGGGATATGATGGCAAGATGACGCTCAGCCTGAGAGCTCTGTTGCTTTTCTTCGCTCTCTACCGCGGCTACAAATCGTCCGCGAGAACCTCTGTTGACGATCAGTAACTCGTTTATTAGTGTGCTTTGCAGCGTGCTTAAGCGCAGCGTAAACGCAGTCGTCTCTCGTAGTGCTGCACGGAGGAGGGCAATCACCTTGTGCGTTTTGACTGCACCAAACGACAATCAAGGTTTCCAGAACTAAGACAGCCTGAGCACGGATGCCCGATGAGTGAGGCATCACATTTGACGCGTCTTCTATTGCATCTCTCGCAAGCCTGAGGTCTGCGGGAACTGCGGGTCATCACGCCAGGTGTGACCCTGCTAGTTTGAGAAGTGTTCGGCCGAGACATTCTCGTCGTACCGATTGAAGTTGCCGTTTCTAGAGCATGCAGGCAGGCGCAGGTTTGCATTAATACCATAGCCGATGGAGACTTCGAGGGCAAGGTCTCGGAGACGGGAAACTGACAAGAGTCCGTGTGTAACCAAGCCATAATTAGCCTCCTACTATTTCATCAGGTGGCTTTACAGCCACTTACTGCCTGTTGGACCGTCTAAAGTCTCTTGAATGGCTTAACTACGCACGGGAGTAAGGAAGCTCCTGGCCCACCACCCCCTTATAACCTAGGCCGGGCGCATCGGGGGGTTGCGGGGTAATCAACTACCGATTCCTTACGCTGAAGTTACTGCTCATTGCTATTCCGTAGTATTTAACCTGACTCACTACCTAAGAAATAGACTAACTGTAGATTAGGAATAAGCCATCGTTACACTATAATGTTACAAACGCTATAGCATGTACACGGGGCTAAGTAAGGCGGACCACTGATACACTAGCACCTAGAAAGGATAAGGAGGTTACGTGATTAAGGACTTAAGCTATTAAGCTATTAATCTAAGAAGTAAAATCTAAGAGATTTATAAGGATAACTATTAAGGTTATAATTATATAAGTAGTACTGTTAGAAAGCCCTAGTTTTCCTAATTATATTAAACCTACTTTTATCTTTATTAGACTAAAATAAATTAAGTTATAGTTAAGTATTATACCTAATCTATAAATCTTAGCCTCTATAGTATAGTAGTTCTATATTAGGGAGTTCTATGTAGGTTAGTACACGGATTATAGGTTTAAATCCTACTAGAGGTACCTTATTCTAATTTAATAAAAGTTAGGTAGTAATAACTAACCTATAAAGGATATAGGGTAAGGTAACTATAGGTCTAGTTAAGGTATAAAAATTTATTAAGAAGGGTATATACTAACTACTATACTACTTAATACTTTTTAGTATAACTAAGGTTAAAATTATCTCAATATTAAAGATTATAACTATAAAAGAGATAATAGTAAAGAAGACTTATTAGTTACTTTAAGGTAACGTGGTTAATAAGTAAGTCATATAGATAAGTGAGTTATGTACTCTACCTAGTTTTCGCTATAA